GCCCGCTGCAGCCGGTACCACGTCCGGTTATTTGTGAAGGGTTCGACCATGGCCCTGTAGTAGTCGCTGCAATACTCTAGCTGGTCATCGCTCATCTGTCTTTGGTCTTGGATACGAAATTTAGCACAAAGTCGCCGAGCTGTGACGTCTTCGACATGCTGACCAAAAGCCGCGCCGTCCATGCCGACTTCCCAGCGCAGCGCGGGAGGAACCTTTAGAGGTCAGCGGAGTCAGTGGCGATATTTGGACCGCTTTTACCTGGACTCTGATGTGCTTCACGAACTCCAGCAATCTATGATTCGAAGGGTCGATGGCGAAGCGTTCCAACTGACTGGACATGCCCACCAACACATGGTTCAATGCCATGTCTCTGAACAGATACTCTGGGGTACATTCTCTCAAGCACGAGTGCGTAGCATTGGCGTTCTTGAGGTCCTGTTTATTTCCCGGGTGATGACAATCAGGATGAGGTGCGAGGAATGAGACGATGAGTCTCCTCAGCTCGGATGGTAATGTATGGAGAGCAGGCTGTGGCTTGACAGACAAATCTGTGGTCATGGCAAGGTTCGCATTCTGCATGTTGAGTGAAGGACAGTATAATGTATTTGAAGGTTAAGAGCGTCTATAGTTGGAAGTGAGTCTTGTTGTGCACTACTTATGTATGTAGTGCTTCAGCAGGCAGCACTTTTGCGAGAATCGATTGTCAATTGGTGCGCAACGTTAGGCTATAGATGGCAAAGCTGTTCCGAGGTCTGTCCGTCTGATAGGCTCCCAGTATATGGATCTTGACGGTATGTTGACTCGAAAAGCTATTAGCTGTCTTTGCCTCAGTCGTAGTAAGGCTGTGGTTGTATTCAGGTTGGCCATAGCTCCGACATCGTGTCCCTGTCGATGGCCTCGGCTAATCGCGGTCTAGCACCAAGCAAGTCCAAGATGCTCTCAGTGCCCGAGGCTTTTACACAACCCGCATATCTACTTGGTCTTTCTGTCCTTAGTAAACAGTAACTCCTCCGCGAAAAAAAGCAAACATGCGTCTTTTACTTCGGACCCGCGCCAAGCTCCTCGTCCAGCCTTCACAACGATGCGCTTATTCGAGTGCACCAGCTCCCGCAATCGGTGTCACCAATGTACCAGCACCTCATTCGGGTAGCATACGGATCCTGTCTCTCAACAGACCAGCCGCAAGGAACGCAATTTCACGGCAACTGCTCGCAGAACTACACCATCAAGTCAACAGCATACACAGTGAAGGCGAGACGGGCCCCACGCGAGCATTGATCCTTGCCAGCGATGTAGATTCAAGTTTCTGTGCGGGCGCCGACTTGAAGGAGAGGGCAACCTTCACACAAGAAGAGTACATACCACGTGGCGATTATATGTAGCAGTCAACTAACGTCTCACAGCACGGCAAACTTCCTCACAACCCTTCGAGGCACCCTGACCTCAATCTCCCAACTACCCATTCCCACAATCTCCGCACTCGCCGCGCCCGCATTTGGTGGGGGCCTCGAACTTGCTCTCACAACACACATGCGCATTTTCGCCTCAAATACGACCGTCTCACTCCCAGAAACACGGCTGGCTGTTATACCCGGTGCGGGAGGAACATTTCGCTTACCAGCACTCATTGGCCTCTCACGAGCCCGCGACATGATCCTCACTGGGAGAAGAGTTGGGGGGCCAGAGGCATACTTCCTCGGACTATGCGACCGGCTAGTGGAGGTCACAGCCGAAGAAGCGACACAACCAGGCGCGGCGCGCAAGAAAGTGCTGGACGAGGCGATCAAGCTTGCTCGTGACATTTGCGAGGGGGCGCCAATCGCCGTCAAAGCCGCGCTAGCAGCTGTAGAGGGATGCGCATTGGGCGAAAAGGCAGAGAACGCTGCGTATGAGCTTGTGGTGAAGACGAAGGACCGCAACGAGGCGCTTGCTGCGTTTAGAGAGAAGAGGAAACCAGTCTTCAGAGGAGAGTGAATAGGCTGAATTGTACAGCAAGCTACTAAAGCTTGTATTCCTCGCCTTACAGACTCTTGCCATGTGTTGTGCATTCACATCTTCGCCTTGATCTCCTCCAATAGCTTGCCCAGCGCACCCATGTCGGCTTTCTGTGTAGGCCACCCAATGCCTAGTCCCTCCTTCTCATTTGGCTTCGGGATCAAATGGAAGTGCACATGATCCACTTCCTGATGCGCAAGTCTACCATTGTTCTGCAAGACATTGTAGTTCTCCAGGCCCTGTGCAACGGCAATCTTCTTGGTTACGGTCAGCAGCTCGGTGAGCTGGTCGTCGGGGATGTCGTGGAGCTTTGCGCCGTGGTGTTTGGGGATGATGAGCTGCAACAACGTTAGCAATGGCAGGCTATGCAGTGAAGTAAGGAAATAGAAGGGCCACTGTACCGAATGTCCTTGCGAAAGAGGGCCAATGTCAAGGAACGCAAATGTCTTTTCCGACTCGAAGATCTTCATAGACGGGATCTCACCTGTTACGAAGTTAGCTCCCGCGAGGCGTGATCAGACCAGGTCTGGGCTGCTGCGTACCCTTGATGATCTTGCAGAAGATACAGGCGGCCATTGTGGTACTCAGATATCGCAATTGCTGGTTGGTTACGGTAGCCACGAGAGATTGGGGAGGGAACAAGTGTCGGAGCTATGGAAAGTTGAGCCGAGCTCGAGGTGGGGTGTGTGGGGTAGCTTCAGTGACGTGAGGGGGGTTTGACATTGCTCCATTTGGCAACTCTATGAACTTGAACAATCCCATGCTATTGTTTCGCCCATTTCCATGCTCCGCATTCAAAGTTCGCATAACATCGGAACTCGTTGCTCAGGCCCTTTGCGTGCTTGATCTCATAGTCGGTGGTCTTGGTGCCGACCTTTCCGTAAAGCTTGCTGGTGATGATGCTCTCCATGCGCTCTCCTGTGCAGACTATGAGTCGCAATGAATCTGGGGTCCAGGACTTGGCCAGCCACCGTACAGTCAATGCCGCTATGTGTGATTAGCGAATAAACAAAGTTATTTGATGGGACGCAATACCTTTAGTCTGGCAATCGTCGCTCAAGAACGGTGGATCGCAAATGATGCGATCGAACGATGTCTTCATCTCAGATGGCAGCTGAATCGCTTTCTTGAAGTCATAGTGCACAAATTCCTTGAAGACTGCAAAGCGCTCGTCGATCTCAAGCAGCTTGATCTCCGGTCGACATGTGTACTCGCCCGATGCCTCCCACAATTAGCAAACGCATTGCTACGTCTGAGAAATACATACAAGCATATTCTTGAGCTGTATGAAAGCACTTGGGGCAGACACCACTGCTATCTTGCTTTCATCCGTAGCTCCGTCAAGTAGTTGTCGAGCAAGTGCTATGGCAGTCTCGTCGTTGTACCAAAATTGACTTGCATTCCAGTCTTCCGTGAAAGCGTCCATGGACAATTTGCCCTCGAAATCATCTTCTGCCTGGCTCTTCAAGTTTTCAAACTGTTTTTGCCTGGCATCCCGCTCGCCATAGAATTCTTTCAATGCGTCCAGGGCACCGCCTGAGAGCTGTCTTCTTTGCTTAGCACATGTCGCTCGTGAGTCACCGCGATCTTACGGCATGTCATCGTCGTCGTTCATCGTCGCCATTTCCTGGTGATATGCACCTTGTTGAGTGGTGTGCCTGAAAAGTAATAGTTCGTGCTGACAAGGCTGCATGTGGGCAATCCATGCCGTATCGATAAGCAGCGTGCCTCGGTACGACGAACCAACTCCGCGTGAACCTCGTCACTATGCGCATGTTGCGATGGGTCGTTCGTTCCACAAATTGCAAATTATATTCAACCATGTCTGAGCCGCTGGTACCACTTCCAGCTGTCGAGAAGCTGAGCAGTCGTGTTATTCGTGTGCTTGGTGGAAATCCGAGCAAGGTCAGTTTCCGCACTGCTCAAAGGCTTGAGGATCTGACGTTGTGCTAGTTCACGCTACAAGGCACAAACACATATATTGTTGGGCAAGGACAGAAAAGACTGCTCATTGACACGGGCGAAGGAAAGCCTGAGTGGATCGCATCGATCAAGTCAGTGCTGGAAAAGGAGAACATCACAATCGAGAAGGCGATCTTGACACACTGGCATCATGATCATATCCAGGGGGTGCCAGATCTTGTAAAGCAGATTGCAGATGTACAAGTGTACAAGAACGATCCGCAAGATGGCTGGTCCGATATTACCGATGGACAGAAGTTTGAAACCGAGGGTGCGACACTTCGCGCATTCCATTGTCCTGGTCATACCGAAGATCACTTGGCTCTTATTCTAGAGGAGGAAGATGCAATGTTCACAGCGGATAATGTGCTGGGTCAAGGTACTGCTGTTTTCGAAGACCTGGCTAAGTATATGGCGAGCCTCAATGCCATGTCCAAGCAGTTCAAAGGTCGCGCATACCCAGGGCACGGTCCGGTAATTGAAGATGGGCCTGCGAAGATACTTGAGTACATCAAGCATAGGAAGCAACGGGAGAGGCAAGTGCTCGATGTGTTGGCGGATAATAAGGAGGGTGGCTGGGCATCGATGGATATTGTCAAGGTGATTTACAAGGACTATCCGGAGAATTTGTGGGAGCCTGCGCAGAGTGGAATCTTGAAGATTCTTGACAAGCTGGAGCAGGACGGAAAGGTGGTGCACAACGAAGACAAGGATACTTGGGCACTGAGCGAGAAGTCTAGCCTGTAGTCGATAAATGATATTATGCCCGGAAAGTCTGGCTTCCTCATATCTCGTGTAACCTATAAAATGGTTGAGTCGGACATTCTCGCCCATTTTCAGGTGTTCCGTTCCTCCTTCCGCCGGACAAGGCTGAAGCGGGGAGTTGGGCTGAACCGCCCCCTGACTCGACCAGCCACATTAGCCGCCCCTACGCCTCATTGCTCATTGCTTTTCTGCAAGGTCTTACATCTTTAAGAGTCGTAGTGTGCTGATGGATTTTAATGAGGTATATTATAGCTACAATCCTCGAAATTACTTCATAAGACATTGTGCCAGAGTGGTTAATGGGTTAGACTTGAATCTTCATGTTCAGTCATCTAATGGCTTCGGCCTCGCAAGTTCGAATCTGTAAGGCTTCACGTCAGTCTCATTATTATGCCTTTACTAACTGATCAGTGTCAATGTCGCAACCACTCAAATTATTTTTTGCACGTATTCGATCATCTCCACCTTTGACGTCTCAGTAAACCGTGTCAAAATGCAGTTCTTTTTGCTCTACTTCGCGATCTCTGGTGGTGGAGGTTCGGGGAGACTTGTAATGCGCAGAGTGGCACAGTGGCTACGAACCCGGACCTCTCAACGGTAGCGAAAATATTCTTTCGAATGTGCGATAGATAAGCACATATCTATGAGCAATGACACAACACCACGGCCACTTTGAGTGGGCAAGGTCGAACCTCACACAATAGTACGAGAACAACAAGATGACACGCTTGCAAGAGAGACTTCTGAATCAATGAAGCTTTGTTTGTCTTATGTACTATGAATGGCCTTGGTTACTTTTGACCACAAGTCTTCATCACGTGCGACCAGGCTGCGGTATGATTTATGATGAAAGAGTGTATTAAGAACTGTAATCCCTAAACCGCATGCCATGAGCTTGATCAGATCCTTGAATCTGCACGTCTACCAATCTCCGTCTGTAGAGTCCCGAGCAATGCACAAAGATTCGTGACAAAATATAGAGCACTGATCCTTCAGCTTCTGCATGTTTCTCAAATTATGCTAACAGGTTGTGCAGCTGGCAAGATCGCATGAAGCAGTGACAGAACAGTGAATCCTTGGTGATGTTGGAGTTGATCAAGTGCACTAATCCATCCTCGATCGATATCGCAAACATAGCCGCCTCTCCAGATGAACGCCAGAACTTTACTTCTTGAGTTGAGCTGCAGCTCCAGCCTTCATGTATTCCTCCCAAGAAGATTTGGACAAGTTCTTTCTGAAGGCAAAGTACTTCTCAATGACGATGTCCCAGGCCTTTGCGTGTTGCTTTGCGCTGCTTCCCTCAGGTGAGCAGAGGATCCAGCGACCAAGGGTGAAGAAGTCGATTCTGTCAACAGTAGGCTTCTTGGGTCTGCTGTACCTGAATATGCCGGAGCCATGTCCCTTGTTCAAGAAATTCCCGTACTGCACGATACATTCGGCCAGATCGTCGTTTGATACCGCGGGAATGATAGAGCGCAGGAGAATCGAACGGTGAAGCGAGACGGCGGCGAACACAAACTTCTCTGTATCGGTGTAGTTGAACTTTGGAGCTAAACTACCCCAGTTTGGTCTATTACGATCAGCTTGATGTATCTAATTATAGATCTTGCATTGACACGTACACTTGCCACTGATCTCGAAAGCGCTTCTGGAAAGCGGGGCTTGGGGTTAGTGCAAACCATTTCGTTGCGTTCTTGTCGCCGTTCTTTGAAAGACATCCAAGAAAGATTGGACGGTATTGGTCTTGCTCTCCAGTGCTATAACGCGGGCGCACTTCAGACCGTTGCGTTGCGAGCTTGTTGTTGTAGGCTCCCCAAGCTGGTCTCTTCGCGTCTACCTCAGGTGCGACAATGACTAGGCTTCTCTTGAAGTAACGAGCCCAAGCCGAAATCCTGTGCTCTTCAGGGTACACAGCGTAATCAGCTCGGTCTCTCGGATGGTAGAGTTCCTCTTTTGTTGCGCCCATAATCTGGCTGACCGCTGCTTTTACCTCCTCTTTCTCAAAATCCTGTATCGCGATCTGCACGTCTGAAAATTGGAGAGCCTTGAGGAGTGACCGTCGGGGATCAGTGTCCGACCCATCCCACACCCACTCATGGGGTCGGTAGACTATATTCGGATGAGAGATGCCGATGAATTCAGTTTTACCGTGGTGCTGTGGTACATTTGGCAGTACCTTGTCCCACTCTGCCTTACCCTTGGGAGACAACGGATGATGTAGCGACCTCATAGATATCGAATCTTTTCCGCGGCCAATATCCAGAGTGTAGCATGGTTCTTTGCCATTGCTGCTAGAAACGACATCGACACATCGCGGCAGCGGTCCGTGTGCCCAGGTGTTATCGTGGTGACCTTGCACCCACGCTGGGAGCGCGTTGCTTGACATGGCCGATGGGAGCGGTTCAAGTGGTGGAACTTCAAGAGTTGACTGCGCGTTAGAAAGAGTTGGCGTTCAGAGCTAGAGTGGTCGCTGGTGATATCTAAGTGTCAGGTATACATGCTCACGAGGTAGGGCTAGAGCGTTTGTCTCCCCGTGGGGATGTGACGGAGATCACATCAATGGTAGCTCTATCGATCAAACGAACAGTGGCAATGGGTCCGCATGTGTGGCTGTCACATGCTCGAGCCGTTCCCGTGAATATGATCTCACTCGAATCTTGAGAATCAGTCCCACGCTCGGAGAAGTAATTTGATTACAGTGCTAACAGCATCATGAAATTGAATTCGGTCATGTCTGTGATACCGAAGTGACATGTTTGGTGCACTGAAAGCCTCTCCGCCATTCCCCATCTTTCTGAGGCCCAGTGCAGATCTAAGCTTTGCTTCTAGTACGTTGGTCGTGCGCCACAAGTACAATCACCTTCGCTGGCGAAGCAAACGGACTGATCATGAGCTGCCGCCATCCGCCTGCCGTTTGCTACATCACTCGATCTATCTTAGCGTGCGCTTGAGCTCCAGGAGTACTAAGAGAGTAATCACCAGTACCAAAGATCCCTTTCTTCTACTCACAATCCGATCCATCGGTCTACCACAGCTCAGCCTGAACAGACAAAATGCCAGTCTGGGTTGACACAGGCGACATATCTGCGCTCTCAAAGGGTTTCCATACGGCAGTATGTGGCTACGTAGTCCTGATATTTTCATGAGCGCACGCTAACTCACATCCTCACTTTAGGGTTTGAGGATCTTCAACGAAATTCGCGATGGACGAGACACTTCGACTATCGTGCGTCCCACATTCGGCTTTCGCATAACACAGTCGGTTACTAGCCCGCAAACTGGAACGCGTTTCGAAGTCAATATGCAAGGTCAAGTACTCTATTGCGACGGCATCTGCGCCTACATAGAGTGTCGCGATCTTTTTGACACTGCTGGAAAGCCTCTCAAAGACTGGATCCATCGAAACTTTCTCGAAATAGGCACAAAAGCCTATGGGACCTGGTCGATAGACAAATGCCATATACCGAGGACGGTTGCGAGACTAACACCGCAAGAGCACGATATTTTTGGAGACCCTGCTTGCAGGCATTTAGCTTTTGGCATTAGCACTTTCTTGAGTACTTTAGCAAAGACAAACCCTGAATGTCTTACCGAAGACAGCCTGAACAGGCTGGGTGGCCAGTCAGGAAGCAAGGTCCCATGGATCACAGCCAGGATTATCGCCGGCATTACCAAAGCAGGCCTCCTCGGTGTGCTAAATAGTCCGGGTTTCACCTCTACTGAGCTTGCCAATAACGCCAAACTCAACTGCAGAATTCCTGAAGCCTCTGGGAAGTCCGGTATCTACTTTCGCGGTTACGTCGAAACTGTTTCCAGCAAATCGAAACCAAAGTTTTCTTTGTATTTCGGTCAGTCAGTGGACCTCTACGCTCGCTCTCAGGCATGGCAGCAAGGAGGACACGATGAGCTAATACGGAGGTCAAATCATATCGACATGCTCTGCATCTGTCTCACAGAGAAAGTTTTCTACGATGACCACAAGCACATCATCGAGCAGACTTTTGCTTCACTTTTCCAGACATATAAGCGAAGTCTCATGAACAAGGCTTACAGCTCGAAACTGGACGACGATGTCGAAAATTTTCACGTGAAAAATTGCTCGGACATGATTGAAATTGCAAAAGAAGCTGCCAAGGTGAGTGGCTGGACTGGTGCAGTACGACGAGAGAGTTTCTGGTCAAAAACATATTCCAAGTGCGATGGTCTCAACTACCAGACCCCCATTGCAGAAGCACCAAAGCATGAGCCTGCGGTTTGGATTCGCACCGATGGCTGGATGCCCGACAAGGACAATCCAAAGAAATCTGTTCCTATGGCCAATTTCACACGCGAAGCCCCCAAGAAGCTGACTGTTATGCCTGCGAGTGGGAAGTCTGCATCGAAAGACGACTTCGCCATCCTCTTCGACCTTACATCTGAAAACAACGAGTACCGAATGCGTATTTCCCGGACTTTACCTAAGAAAGACTTCAAGGATGGCTTGGAATGGCCAGCTCATGGGTCTTACTACAGTCTAACATTTGAGGTTCGCACAGATTGGAAACCTCACCCATACTCATGGGCTCGCTTGCCGCTGATCGGGCCTTTCGAAGACTGGGACCGAGCTAACTGCTGGGCTTTGCATATGAAGTGGACGGACCCAGCTGGAAAGACTCGCTCTAGGTATCTTCATTGTGAGCGTCCTAATACGATGATGAACACAGATTCTCCTGGTAGCGTCCAAGGGTACGCAAGGGGCATCGAGGTAGGTGTTCACCAGAACGCATGTAGCTGTTCACATAAACTAACACATGCAGACCATCCACTGGCTATTCAACGAGCGCGTTCCAGCGAGTGATCAGCATCGTTGGCTTCAAACCCCGCCCATGGCCTCCATCAAAGTCATCAAGCACGACTACGTTCAACAAAAAGTCACGTTGGAAGCTGGTAAGGGTGTCACCACTAAAACACCGATCTCTAGCAAGCGCAAGCATGCCGATGATATCATCAGGGAGATGAGAGGACAAGGAGTGCACGGCGATCTTCTACTCGAGAACGTTGGTCTCGATATCCAAGGCGCCAAGAATGCTAGCATACAAAAGAAATGGAGCAGCAGAAAGAAGTGCGACACATGTATGTTGCTAAACCGCAACACCGGATTAACTCTAGGCTGCACATCAGTCAACGGAGCATCTCCGCCTGTCTGTAAGAACTGCGCGGAACTATATGGACGGCCTGCCTGCTCATTCAGCCATGGAATGCCAGCTCAATATGTTCCCGGCCAAAATGCTCTTGGAAATTCCTTCGAAGAGCTCGACAACCAAAACGATACAGTGAACGCGATTCGACGTACGGCACTTATTGGACTTCGAGGCTGGTCAGCTTCAGGCGATGA